GGAGGTAAATCTAAAGGAAATTGGGTGGAAAAATTTAAGAAAATTGTATAGTGTATGGCCAGCCTAATACAGGGCTTTTTTTCATGTGGGTTCCAGCACCTCCATTACTGAATGTATGTAATGGCAAGGGGTGATGGGGTGTGCTGGCTGCTGGGAGATCTATTGTCGATGGGGGGAAATTATCGTTGCTAGGGAGGTCTATTTTTGCTGGTGGGGGGTCTACTGTTGCTGGGGGTCAGTTGTTGCTGGGAGAGATTTACTGTTGATAGAGGGGTCTATTGCTGCTGGCTGCTAGAAGGTACTGTATATTATTGCTGGGGTGGATCTATTGTTACTGGGGGTATTATGTTGTGGGGAGGGTCTATTGTTGCTGGAGGGTCTACTGTTTCTGGCTGCAGGGGATTTATTTTATTGTTTTTCTTGCTCTCGATAACAAATTCCATACAAATTGCTTAGCACCACAAAATGATACTTGGCTCTGTATTCTCTAAAAGGGTCATACTGGGAGGTAGGCAGGTGGAGGAACCAAGGGATAGTGCCTGGAGGTGGGTAGGGGCGGAGACAAGCACTGACTCGCAAGTACTTGCACATATTCCTTGCCCTGGTCTTATATTACACACTGCTCAAAAAAATTAAAGGAACACTTTTTAATCAGAATATATCATCAAGTCAATTAAACTCCTGGGATATTGATCTGGACAGTTAAGTAGTTGAGGGGTTTGTTAATCAGTTTCAGCTGCTTTGATGTTAATGCAATTAAAAACAGGTACACTAGATGGGCAACAATGAGATGACCCCCAACATAGGAATGGTTTTACAGGTGGAGGCCACTGACATGTTTTTCCCTACTCATCTTTTTTGACTGTTTTTCACTAGTTTTGCATTTGGCTAGGATCAGTGTCACTACTGGTAGTATGAGGCGATTCCTGGACCCTACAGAGGTTGCACAGGCAGTCCAACTCCTCCAGGATGGCACATTAATACGTGCCATTGCCAGAAGGTTTTCTGTGTCTCCCAGCACAGTCTCAAGAGCATGGAGGAGATTCCAGGAGACAGGCAGTTACTCTAGGAGAGCTGGACAGGGCCATAGAAGGCCCTTAACCCAGCATCAGGACCAGTATCTGCTCCTTTGAGCAAGGAGGAACAGGCTGATCACTGCCAGAGCCCTACAAAATGACCTCCAGCAAGGCCACTGGTGTGAATGTCTCTGACCAAACAATCAGAAACAGACTTTATGAGGGTGGCTTGAGGGCCCAACGTCCTCTAGTGGGCCCTGTGCCATTGCACACCAGAATTGGCAGGTCCGCCTCTGGTGCCCTGGTCTTTTCACAGATGAGAGCAGGTGCACCCTGAGGACATGTGATAGACGTGAAATGGTCTGGAGAAGCCATGGAGAACGTTATGCTGCCTGTAACATCATTCAGCATGACTGTTTTGTGGTGGGTCAGTGATATTCTGGGGAAGCATATCCATGGAGGGACGCACAGACCTCTACAGGCTAGACAATGGTACCCTGACTGCCATTAGGTATCGGGATGAAATCCTTGGACCCATTGTCAGACCCTACACTGGTGCAGTGGGTCCTGGGTTCCTCCTCTTGTACGACAATGCCTGGCCTTATGTGGTGAGAGTAAGTAGGCAGTTCCTGGAGGATGAGGGAATTGATACCATTGAATGGCCCCCATGCTCGCTGGACCTAAATCCAATAGAACACCTCTGGGATATCATGTTTCAGTCCATCCGACGTGGCCAGGTTGCACCTCAGACTGTCCAGGAGCTCAGTGATGCCCTGGTTGAGATCTGGGAGGAAATACCCCAGGACACTATCCGTCATCTCATTAGGAGCATGCAACGTTGTCAGGTAAGCATACAAGCACGTGGGGGCCATACAAACTACTGAGTACCATTTTGAATTGCTGCAATGAAATTTCAGCAGAATGCATCCTTTTTACACTTTGATTTTCGGAGGGGCCTTTGAATTCAGTCCTCTGTAGGTTGATAATTTTAATTCCATCAAACGATGGGGCATCTTTATGTTTCTAACACATTACCCAGTCCATATCAGTATAGATACCCAGCATGATATTTTTCCCCATTGAGATCTGTGTTTTCAAAGTGTTCCTTTAATTTATTTGAGCAGTGTTTAATGCCTTGAAGCCAGGGGATTGTCTGCAGCTCTTTGGCACTTTTTGTACAGCCCTTGGAGCCCCTATAGCCTGTGTTTTTCTTACCTAGTTACTTACTTAGAGCAGTAAAGGAGCCCCTATAGCCTGTGTTTTGGCATTAAAGAAGCAAAAGTTGTGCAGATAACTGTTCTATCTGTTGCACAAATTAATTGAAAAGTAAGTCATTATAAGACAAAACACTACATTATATAAAATTCTATTAAAGTGTAACTATAAACAAAACTGTTTTAAAGATTTGGAGTGGAGAAGGATTATAACACCTGTCAAGTTTCTATTGTTGCCTGTGTCCATGTGACAGAGATTCACCCTCTCTATTTTTCCTGTTTAGCATTATCATTCAAAATGAAGGTTATAGAAAATCCCAAATTTTGGGTTTTCCCCAGAAAGCTAGAAGAGGAGAGAAGTATTCCAGTGGGGGCTCTAGTTCTAGTGTTCTGGTGACGGGGGGCCCAAAGTGATTCCCTAAATTTGCAACGATTTGCTCTCGCTTTCTGTTTTGGCTAGAAGTCGAAAAAAAAACCTGACAGGGGTTATAACTGTCCCTTACTCTATCCAAAATGAAAAAGTTTTGCCTTTAGTTCTACTTTAACAACCTTCAAATGTATGCATAGAGAGAGAGCGTGTGTGTGTGTATATATATAAAAAACATAATGAAAATGAACTCTTAACAATAGAACTAATTCTAACACTGATCTCAAACCCTACAACTTAACCCAACCCTTAAAGGAAATCTATGGTCGCAGAATATACTTTCATTTTATAACATGAGCATTGGTATAACATTACAAACAATAGTTGTATTTGACAATCCAATATAAGCTGACTTAAAAAATTAATTTTCATGTTGTGAGTTCTGCCTGTCTGCTGATCATCTGTTTCCACAACTTCATGGATTCCCTGCTTTCTTTGCAGCTTCTCCTCTGCTGTGTACTTTCAATTTCTAAGGACTACATATCCCATGGTACCTTGCTGCCTGCAAGCAGTGATTCCTGTACTGACTCCGCCTCCTGAAACTCCTCCCCTCACACCTCTGTAGTTCAGAAGGCAGGCTCTGTGAAATGTGTGACACAGCTGTGCCCAAGAGCAGGGTTTCTCTTCCTTCCTCTCACCTGAGGCTATTTTTGTCTTCTGCTGCTGTCATTCACATCCTGTGAGATGGGAGAAGGGTAGGGCTGAGCTGTGCTGTTTGTGTCAATAGATAGACACAGCCCAGCTCAGGATGGAGCCAGCAAATGTTGCCCCATAGCAAGCAGCTTGCCTTGGGGTTACACTCAGAGATGGAGGTGCCTGAGCACTGGCAAGAGGACCCTACAACAGGAGGATTAGGGCTGCTCTGTGCAATACCACTGTACTGAACAGGTAAGTATAACATGTTTGTTATATTAAGAAAAAAGAAGTACAATTACAAGCACTTTACAGCAAACTCTCCTAGATTGTAAGCTCGAAAGAGTAGGGCCCTCTAACCCCTTGTGTACTGTTGCTGTTCTGTTTCTTGTATTGTCCCCCCCCCCCCCCTCTATTGTACTGAGTAAACCCTTTGGCGCTATATAAACTCGATGTAATAATAATAATAATAACTCTCAATGACCTCTATAGCTACAGCACCCTTGAGAAATTTATCCTCAAAATGCACAGCAGAAATTCAAGGGGGAGCTAAGCTGCTGAGTCACTGCTAGGGGGAGATGGGTGCAGGGAGCTAGGCTGCTGAGTCACTGTTGGGAGGGGGTAACTGAGCTGCTGAATCACTACTGGTGGAGGGAGCAGGGCGATTTTAGCTGCCAAGTCACTGTCAGGAGTGGGGAACAGGGTGGACTGAGCTGCTACGTCACTGAGCAGAGGGTGTAGCAAGGGAGCTGAGTTGCTGAATGAGATGGGAGCAGGGCAGATCTAATCTGCAGAGTCACTCCTTGGAGGGGGAGCAGGATGAACTGAGCTGCCGACAGAACAGTTTTGATGAGTTCATAGATTCTGCTATGAACTTTGAGGATGAATTGCCCACAGTACCTGCAGCTACAGAGGGCAGGAAAGGGCTGTTTACTCATTTACTGCTTGTTCAGAAAATGGGAATACTTAATTGTCAATAGCCTGACCACAGGTTCACTTTAAATGTCTTTAAATGTAACCGCAACCCCTGGCCCTAAAGCTCAAATTTAACCCATAATTCTTTCAACCACAAAAAAAAAAACAGAACTAATTCTGAAATTATCAAACCAGCACATACATTGTGAATCTGAATTAAAAATATCCATATATAACAGCTCCATGTTGATTCGTACTTGTGCCAAAATCTCAGCACCTAAAACTAATGACCAGGGCAGCACTGAACACTGAAAGTGACTCAAAGCCAAACCAACATAGACGATTGTAAACTGATTTGTAGGTAAGTACAAGTATATTGTTCTGCTGTCAGTTTTACACAGCATAGTCTAAAAGAGGGTCACAAAAATATCTTTCAATAGGATTAGTGAGAGACCTAAGCAATGCACAGGAAAATGTCTTGTCTACAGCCTCATACATATTGTATCTACAACTAATGTTAATTTCATAGAATTTTTATTAATTTATCTATTTATTTTAATTATTTATATGTCTTTTGTATATTTTTTAGAATAATTATTGACTGCTTTATATAAACCAAATTTACCTGTGTTGGTCCTCTGGGTGGTGAAATGCAGTGTGGGCAGCAGAAACTGTGCTATGAAAAGTAGCCACTTGGTGTCAGCAGAGCACCCCCTTCCTCCCTCCCCCTTCTCATTGTTGTGCTGTGTTTGAGGTTCTTAATTGTTCATAAACTGTGATTCATGAAAGTGATCATTTCATCAAAGCCACAAAGAGAGCCACAGTGGAGCAGTCACAGTAGGAGAGCAACAGAGCGCAGCTACACTGCTGTATTCCAACTACAGGAGCCCCCCAAGTCTGCAGCGCCCCAGCACCAAGGTAAGTGACAAGTTGGGGTCCCTCTAAACCCCAATATTCTGTAGTGGCATCTTCATTGCCATTTCAGCTCTACAATTTCCCGGGAGCTTTAATTGCTTTCAACATTATTGAATTAGAATAGGATTAATATTATTATATGTTTTTTATTATTATTATGATTTTATTATTACTATTATTATTATTATTATTAATATAATAATAATCATAAATTTACACTGTTAGATGTGTTTCTAAAGATTTTGAAAAATGTGCTAATACATTGTTTTTTGAGTTGTTAACACTGTAATATTAGATTTTGCACCTTTGTGCTTTCACTAAATGTTATTAGTTTGGCTTCAGACTGGAGGAACCAGTGAAACGTAAGAATTACTTCAATTTTTTTAATGAGACTTCTGTTCAGAATTGTTTGTACTTTGGGGATATTGTATGCAGAGTTTTGCAGAGTATGCAGTCTTCTGTTTGCTTCTATATTGTCGTTGGTGTGTTTTATCCAGATGTGCCAAGTAATGAGCACCCTGCTATAGAATATTGTTTGATAAAACAAACATACTTCATCAAAATGGTATAAATCCCTTATACGCAATTCAAAGCTACTTCATCATCTACATAATGGTGTCATTTATAAGCAAAGTGATTGTAATAAATTAAATATTATGAAGATTTTATATTTAAATGTTAAATATTTAAATATCTGTGAAGAAATAAAACACATTTTAAAATATTCTGCACAAATTCTAGAAAAAACATTTCAAAATAATTAGCAGTAGATTTTTCTATATATTAAAGATTCATTCATCTTTGTATTTTGGTTACTTCTAACTGGCCTCCAATATATGTAACACTGATAATATATAAACTATTATCAAATACATAAATGAAGAGTAAGAAGCCACTTCCTTTCTTGCCCACAGAAGCTTACAATCTAATTACTATAAAGGAAGACTGGCTGTAGGAGGGGAACATTGTGGAGTGATTGGCTCTTTATACAATTCAAGATATAAGTGGCATACACAGAGCCGAATATTTGCTGTAATTATTCCTCATGATAAGGTACAGAAGAATAGGATATTAATTAGCAGAAGAAAGTGACATGGGACAATATTTGGTGTCTTCACACTTCCATGTCCCGGAAGGATTGGATAATAAACTGATAATTATCAGAGCTGCTTGCTGTCCTTCGCAATTATCGCTGTGTGGATCGTGAATAGATCTGATCACAAGAGGCAACAGTGTCACTACGACCTTCCTAAATGATCTTTGTATCCAGGCGCCTCCAAAAATGATACATTCTGCACACTTGGTTTGTGATTGCTTTGCAACAATTTGGAGAATAATAAGAGTTAATGACATATTACCTTAGCCAACCACTTCAACCACTGTGCATCTGCACAACAAGCACAGAAGTGAAATTCTACCGAAAGGCACATGGTTGCTATCTGCCAATCATTTACTTCCAATTATACAATGCACCTGAAAGAGCATTAATACTAAGAATGGATGAGATTTACTAAAGGAGTCGATTATTATGTGCACACTTTAGATTTTAATTTTTGTTTTAATTCACCTGAAAAGAATATCTACCTATCTATCTAAAATTTTACATGGAACATTATTGGGATAATATGCAGAACATATTGATATATTATGTTTGCATCTTTCAGGTTTGGGAAATGGGCCAACTCTGTGTTTTTGTACTGATCACATTGGCGGTGTACTGGGATAGCTGCTCAGGGAATCGGGCCAGTGCAGGCATGGAAGATCTCTCAGGTAAGATTCACTAGTAAAATTAGTTTTGTTTGAAGAGATATAACTTCTTTCTATCAGTTATAATTTCTGCACTTTCCTAATGCAATGTGACTGTGTTACCAAAAAGGGTGAGACTCACTTTTCTAAGGCCACGGTTATTACTAGAAATAGTTCCAACTCTCTCTTTTGGTGTTTCTGTCTAAATAACTCATCCAGAGAACACAATATGTAATTGTCTGAGCTGAAAACGAGAAAGACTGCAGATATGATTAGTACCAAATGTCCCAATAGTTTTCCCTTCTGTTATTACAGCAGGACTTTATGAGGTGAAAGAAAAGCTCAGATATGTAGGTGAAAGGGACACAAATACAGAAAAAGAGAGGCTTAGATATGCAAAGGAGAAGAACTCTAAAACAAAGAGGAGAGAGACTCAGTTGTGGAAGAAAGAGGGGACAAGATAGCGAGGAGAGAGGGGCGAAGATACGGAGAAGAGAGTTGCTTGGATATGGGTGCAAGAAGGGTTCAGATACAGAGGGGAAAAAGACCCAGATACACCTATAGCTAGAACACCTCTAGGTGGGTGGGACACCTTTGCTTGGTTTTGTAAGTGGGCTCTGTTTTTTATAGTTACCTCAAGATCATTGTAAGACTCTCCTTCATCTAAGATACTGGCATGGAACCAAGCTAAAGGAGGCCATAGGGGCTCAGATTCAGGGGGAAGAAGGGCTCAGATGTGGAGGGAAGAGGGTCTCAGATAAAGAGAACAGAGGGGCCCAGATAATGAGGAGAGATGGACTCAAATATGTAGGGAAGAGGGGCTCAGATACGGATGGGATAGGGGTTAGGATATAGAGGAGAGAGGAGCCCAAATATAGAGTAGAGAGTGGGCTCATATGCAAAAAACATAGGGGTTCAGAGGAAAATGAATCTTAGATATGGTGGGGCTAGGGGCTCCAAAACAGATTGGAGAGGAGCTAAGATATTGAGGTGAGAGGGGCTCAGATATGCAGGAGAGAGGGTCTCTAATTCAGAGGGGATATGGTCTTAGATATAGAAGGGAGAGGTTCTCAAATATAGAGGACAGAAGGGAGAGGGGCTCAGATATAGAGTAGAGAGGGTCTCATATACAAAAAACAGAGGGGCTCAGGTACAGAGCAGAGAGGGGCTCAGATACAGTGGGGAAAGGAGCTCAGATACGCCTGAAGCTGGAACACCCCAAGGTGGGTTGAAACAGAGCCAGGAACTATGGTGGGGAGATATCACCCTTGTATTCCCCAGGGGGTATCCTAGTCCCCCAAGACTCTGCCCATAACTAAATTATAGTTTTAAGATGACTGATCCATTAAATTTTAAGTGTACAAGATTTTGTAATGAAACTAACCACACACTTTTTCCCCATATCTAGAGTCTGATTATCCAGAGAGCGAATTACCAGTGAAGAGGAACCCCTATCCTTTGGTGAGAAGTGCTGAAAGCCAGAGCTGGGCAGATCACCCGAACATCTGCTATTTTATACATGAGAGTCAGTCAGAGGGTCAGATTTCCTGCAGGCTACGCTTTACTCGGAGCAAGTTTAACTTTAATCCCTTTGGACTGCGCTTTGGCAAGAGAGACCACAGCAGCATAGCCATAAAGAGATTTCCCGAAACCTCCAGCGGCCATTTTCTACATTACCTTCTGAAACTGAAGGACAAACAGACTGCACTATGCGGACTGGCCTCTGCTGAGCAATGCTAGCAGGGATTTTATATTTGTGTATTTATGATTATGTCTACTGACATTTTATATCCCTATTTCTGTTCTGAGTCTCATTTTCTGTACAGTTCAGTCTTGTTGGAGGGACACAATCAGAATCTTAATGCACTACGTTCGTGTTGTCTCCAGTAATACCATTATATATCTTTGCCTTTAATTATCTGTTTTTGTTGTGTTTTTAATAAAAGTGTTTTGCAAGTGTCCCTATTTCTAAATAAAAGGCACTCATTGGTGTTGAAGTACACAGAGTTTGACTTGGAGACAATGGAGGTTTTCTTTTTCTGTGTCCATTGTGCAATGAGATGGAAGGACATCCACTCACTTTATGGTGTTTTAAACCTTTTCTTCCTCCCTGCAGAAGAACACCATTGTGTGACATTTGCTTGGTGCAGAGGTAAGAGGCAATGGTGTAAAAGTCATCTTCTGAGAGTGATATTGATGCATGGAGATGACACCAACCTTGTTTTGTGAAAATGTAACTTTAACAATACTGAGAGGTGACAAACCCCAAAATATGCGAAACAATAGAAGAGTGGTACTGAACACACTTCCACCCTCATTGCCTTAAAATTCATTAATCGGTAACAAGATGGCCAGATTAAAATATCCGGTCTGTGCTTAAGCACTCATGTTTAAGCCACTTTATGGCATATTTGACAAAAAGCAGACAAGTTAGAAGGATTCCAGAGATATCATAAACTTTATTTAGCCCAGGGTCTTCAAAGGACCTCTGATGGTCACATGGTCTTGTGTGCAGTTTAAGAATACACAACTGGTATATTGACCTATAGTTGAACTATCATAAATCTCAAACTCTCAACTCCAATTCAATTTCCACAAATCCTACAGTAATGAAGTTAATAAATAGTTTTTTGCTAATGTAGAAGATACAGCTTAAACACAAAAGACACCTATATTACAAGATCCAGCGGGCTTATAGAACACAATAGACTTCCTATATATATATAGAAATATATCATATTTGATATCTAATAAATCATACTTTCATTCTCCTAATTTGATGGTTGTTAAATTGTGAAACCTTGTCATATACTTTAGATATATAGATGTGCCCAGTAAAGTTGTCACTACAGATGTAATAAAAACATAACAAAATACTCATTAAAGATGTAATAAAAGCATAACAAAACACTCTCCAACATGCCTATACCACACCTAGACCTGTAACCTTTTGACAGGTGGATTTAGCGTGGTGGTACTCTCTCCAGGAACAAGAAACACTGGCTGCATTGGGCAGCTGGAGCTCTCATTTTATGATTCAAACTACTAGAGACATTTAAATCATTTTCTGAGAGCCAGTGGCTCTGTTATATCACACAGAATATACTCTGCAAGTGATCCAAACTCTGCACTGAATCAATGACTAGGCTAATTATGTTTATTTATTTCAGGTACTTATATAGCACTGTCAATTTACACAGCACTTTACATATATATTGTACATTCATATCAGTCCCTAATCCTCAAGGGGTGTACTACAATCTAAGGTCCCTAACTCACATTCATACATACACATACTAGGGCCAATTTAGACAGGAGCCAATTCACCTACCAGCATGTCTTTGGAGTGTGGCAGGAAACCGGAGTACCTGGAGGAAACCCACACAAGCACAGGGAAAACATGCAAACTACATGCAGGAGGTGCCATGGTCAGGAATCAAACCCATGACCCATTTACTGCAAGGCAGACCTGCTAACCATTAAGCCACTGTGCCGCCAATGTTTCACTTTTAACACTATTTCATTGTTGTATATGTCTGTTTGCTAATATATTTTCTGTAAATTATCCCTACAGTGTTTGTCTTTTCTTTTTCATTTACCGATAATTAAAGCAGAACTCCGGGCAAAAACTTCTTTACATTTCCCCGTTAGTTCTTTTTGGTTTTCTTGTTGGTGAGACCAGTGGCTGCTATGCCTCCTATTCCCCCAGCCACTGGACTTGACACATCGCATCTGTAGTTCTTTCTCCAGGAAGCATTGATGTAGTTCAACCCCACTTGCAGTAGTGGGCGGACCGAGACTCTCAGCCTCATTCAACATGTACAGTGTACCCGCTCACATTCACGATAATTCCCTGTGATTGATGGAAACTGTAGTTTCCTTTTACTGCAGAGAGGGAGGAGAATATATGACGAAATCCCTGCTGTTACATCTCCTGCTTGGCAGATGCTGTTATCTTTTGAATTACAAAGATGAGGTCATGAAAATTCAGTTAGACTTTTCTCCTAAATGGTAAGGATTTTCTAAATTTTATTAACTATTTAGTGTTTTTGTGTAGGGGATGTACTAATGGGTGTTTTTTTTTTGCCTATCCCGGAGTTCTTCTTTAAAAATTGTTAAACTGAATCTCTAAATGTTCTAACTAGAAATTAGAAGAAGCTTTTATAGTTTGAATTCTGTTACATTCCTGTCTGGAAGCAAGTGATGAAGATATCTTTTTTAAAGCCCAAATTTAGAAGAGTGGTCGCTGTGAATGATGTGTGTGTGTGTTACCATTGAAAATACTTGGTGGCCGTCATTGAAACCACCATGACTTGGGCTCCTGGAGAGGCCTTGGGGCCAGCCTCCTTCCCACTGACTATGGACCCAGGACTAAGGAATCCCTCCCTCTAGGGGTTACAAGGAACCTTTTCTCAAGAGGGCTATATCACTTCCCTGAGTACCTGGATGGCCGTGAATTATACCAACTAACCCTTTCCATGCAATTAGGGCTGGAGGGACTGTTTCTGGGACCCCTTGGCATACTGTCCATAGTGGAACTGTTATCCTGTAGCGATGTGTTATGTGCAGGGATAAATTCCAGCATACAGTTAGGTCCATATATATTTGGACGCAGGCACAATTTTCTTACTTTTGGCTCTGTATGCCACCAGAATAAATTAAAACAAAAAACAATCCAAATTAATTTGAAGTGTAGACTTTTGGCTTTAATTCAAGGGGTTGAACATAAAAATCAAGTACAAATGTTAGGAACTGCAACCATTTTTATACACAGTCCCTATATTTTCAGGGGTTCAAATGTAATTGGACAAATGAATATAATCCTAAATAAAATGTTTATTTTTAATATTTTGTTGAGAATCCTTTACTGGCAATGACTTCCGGAAGTCTAGAACCCATGGTCATTACTAGAGATGAGCGAATCGAACTTGGCGAAGTGGAATTCGTTTCGAATATTAGGAAAAATTTGATTCGCATCGAATCCGAAAATTAGCAAACTTCGGATGCACGAATCAAATTTTTCCCGATCGGGCACGCCGATTTTCATCCCTTCTACAGCCGGCAAAAAGTGTCCCTGCAGAGAGCTCCGCTATTTCTGACAGTTCTCTGACAGTTCCTTCACATTTACAGCGGTTGAAACATTGTATCTATTTGTTTCCATTTAGGATACAGATGTTTTTATTCGGAAACAAATAGATACAATGTTTCAACCGCTGTAAATGTGAAGGAACTGTCAGAGAACTGTCAGAAATAGCGGAGCTCTCTGCAGATACACTTTTTGCTGGAATGGAATTCTTCTTATTTTCATCCTACTTCTTCTTCTTCTTCTTCTTCTTCTTCATCCTCATCCTCTTCTTCTTCTGCTTCTTCATCTTCCTCATCCTCTTCTTCTTCTTCTTCTTCTTCTTCTTCATCCTCATCCTCAGAAGAAGAAAGAAGAGGATGAGGATGAAGAAGAAGAAGAGGATGAGGATGAAGAAGAAGAAGAAGAAGAAGAAGAAGAAGATGAGGATGAGGATGAAGAAGAAGAAGAAGAAGAAGAAGAAGAAGAAGAAGTAGGATGAAAATAAAAAGAATTCCATTCCAGCAAAAAGTGTATCTGCAGAGAGCTCCGCTATTTCTGACAGTTCTCTGACAGTTCCTTCACATTTACAGCGGTTTTTTAAACATTGTATCTATTTGTTTCCGAATAAAAACATCTGTATCCTAAATGGAAACAAATAGATACAATGTTTCAAACCGCTGTAAAATGTGAAGGAAACCGTCAGAGAACTGTCAGAAATAGCGGAGCTCTCTGCAGGTACACTTTTTGCTGGAATGGAATTCTTCTTATTTTCATCCTACTTCTTCTTCTTCATCCTCATCCTCTTCTTCTTCTTCATCCTCATCCTCTTCTTCTTCTTCTTCTTCTTCTTCATCTTCTTCTTCTTCATCTTCTTCTTCTTCTTCATCTTCATCTTCATCTTCCCATCTTCTTCTTCTTCTTCATCTTCTTCTTCTTCTTCTTCTTCATCTTCTTCTTCATCATCTTCTTCTTCATCATCTTCTTCTTCTTCTTCTTCATCCTCATCATCTTCTTCTTCTTCTTCTTCATCCTCATCCTCTTCTTCTTCATCCTCCCATCTTCTTCTTCATCTTCTTCTTCTTCATCTTCTTCTTCTTCTTCTTCTTCATCTGTCATTCTTCTTCTTCTTCTTTTCTTCATTTTCTTCTTCATCTTCTTCTTCTCATCTTCTTCTTTTTCTTCTTCATATCTTCTTCTTCTTCATCATCATTCTTCTTCATCATCTTCTTCTTCATCTTCTTCTTCATCTTCTTCTTCTTCATCTTCTTCTTCTTCATCTTCTTCATCTTCTTCTCTTCATCTTCTTCTTCTTCATCTTCTTCTTCTTCTTCTTCATTCTTCTTCTTCTTCTTCTTCATCATCTTCTTCTTCTTCTTCATCTTCTTCTTCATCTTCTTCGTCGTGCCCCGGGTCGTGGACTGCCCAAATGAGTGAAGTGGCTGCGGTGATTCTAAGATCGACGGCACTCATCTGCATGTCATACTGACTGACAGTATTATTTCTCTTCCCCAGCAGACTCCAAAGGGCATTTAAATTAAAGGTACAGTGTTCTGCACTAATATAAAAAGGCTCTCTGAAGCCTAGAAACCCTTTTAATAAGTTAAATTCGCAGCGAATAAATTTCGCATCGAATCGAATTTATTCCGCAAATTCGGCGAATCAGCCGAATCGAATT